TAGATGAAATCAATGTTGTTTGTTTGTCACTATAGATGTTAAATAATGCTGTTTTTTCACGGACTGTCATAGATGTTTTATAAATACTTACATGTTTCAGTTTTGTATTTTGCATAAGAAATTGTAATGTTAAGTTATTCATGCATACAATCTGCCAAAACAATGTATCATATAATATTTCCCATCTGACAGGGTATATGAAGCTATATGATATTTTACATTCTGTGAACTAAATAAAAAGTCTGGTTAGTTAAATGTGATATTTTATAAAATGTTTAAATCTACCAAATAAAAAAGCTTTTCAATTTTCAGTTTGCATTGTAAGAGAAAATGTTTTGCTGATGTTTCAAATTTTTGTTTAAAAAAAATGAAAATTTTGAAAAATAAAAAAAAAAATAATGTTTTTTGATTTTTTAGTTTAAAAAAAATTTCATACTAAGTTTTCATAGAGGGGCCCAAAATTTTTTGTGAAATTTGGGTACTTTATAAAAATTTGATAAAGGGTACAATTTGTTTTTCCCATTTCTAACTGTTTGATTCTTTGTTTTGGGTTAATGTTACTTTGTATAATCCCCTTGGAATTTAAAATTTTAAAGTAGGCCAAATTTTTATTTTGGGATAAAATATTAAAGAAAATTTTTATAAAGTTCTTTTTCTGAAAATTATTCCCCCCAGGGGTTTTTTTTTTTTGGATCCAATTTTTCCCCTTTAAATCCCGGCAAAATTTATTATAAACCCTTTAGAAGAGAAGGGCCAAATATCCCAAAAAAAGAAAAATTTAAAAATTAAAATCACTTTTTAACTTTTTTTTTTGACTTTTGTCCCTTTACCTTGTGATAAACTGAACATGCATTGAATTTTGTAAACATCCTACTTTCATTTAAGATAAATCAGCATGATCTAGTTTACTTGTCCCAGTATTTAACCAGGTTTTTCCGAAAGGAAAAAACTAGTTTTTAGATTGAGGTATGTCGGGCGGGCGGGCGGGCGGACGGGGGGCGGGTGTAAACTCAATTTTTCGGCCAACTCCTCCTAACTTTCTCAAACGGAATTTTGAACCAAACTTTTCACCGAAGCTTTTCATCCCAAAGTGTCCCTGGGCGCATATTGTCGGGGTTTTGCGTTAGATAATATTTGACCTAATTATGGCCCCTTTTTTTTTTCCTTATATAAAATAATAGTGAACAATTTCTTCTGTGCGCAACTCTCCTACATTTCTCAACGGATTTTTTGACCAAAACTTTCTCAAAAGCCTTTGTCATCAGTTGCCCTGGTCACATATTGCCAGGGTTTTGCAATTGGGTAATATTTGACCTTTAAATTGGCCCTTTGTATATTTTTTCCTTATTACAAAATATAGAGAACAATTTCTTCTGTCTCAACTCCCCTACATTTCTGCAAACGGATTTTGCCAAACTTTCTTAGAAGCTTTGTTTATCAAATGCCTGGCACTATTGTCGGGGTTTTGTGATTGGATAATATTTGACGCGAATTATTCCCTTTGTATATTTTTTTCCTTATACAGAATAATATGTGAACAATTTTTAACCGTTGGCAACTTCTCCTAACATTTCTCAAGGATTTTGAAAACTTTCACAAAGCTTTGTCATCAAGTGCCCTGGCGCTCAACTTAATTCCCCATGTTTCTTCCAAGACATCCTTTTCAATTATTTTTTTTAAAAATGGTGAACATTACTTTTCTTGATATCGAAAACACCACACTGCCCAATCTTGTTGACAAAAGAAAATGACAAGAAACGCAAAAATGCAAAAATTGTAAGCAAAAATAAATACTGTTTAAACCTTTCTAAAAATATTTGGAAAAAAAAGGGGCGAATAGAACAACATAAAATTTTTTCAAATTTTCATTTTTGTTTTGGGGGAATATTAAAAAAAGCCCAATAATTTTTCCTCCTAAAAGTTCAATTTCAAAAAAAAATGCCCCTTCATACAAATTCTTGAAATTTATTTTGCTGAAACCTGGTTGCATCCGCATTGCGGTATTTCCTTTTTACAATTTCCCATAGCTTAAAATATACAAATTTTATCTGTTATCACTAAATAAATTTATATGGGAAATACATTAACGTTTTTTAGCAACAGAATTTCCAATATTAGCTGTTTTACATGCAGTTCACATACGCTATGTACAATTTTTGAAAAGTATAGCCCTGAAAGCTGATTGAAAGAAGAATAACCATAAATTAAAGAATAAAACACCAAATCTTTATAATGTGGAAAATATCTTATAATGTAGTTCAATATTTGACTCTTTCAGCTGGAAATTTCAATAATTTTATTTAAGGAGACCGGGTATTGCTCCCAAGGTGATATTAAACCGGCAAACTTCATTAATTTTGTAAAGGGGCATTTGAATAAAACTGGCCAATCCAGGAAATAATAGTAATTTGGGCTAACTTCACCTGTCAAGTGAGGTTTGTTTGGTCAAGTGTCAGACTTACCGATCTGAAGGTCTTCTGGTTTGAAATCCTTACCAAACATCCTGTTATTAAATTTTTTAAGGCTCACCTGTCACAAATGACATGGTGAGCTTTTGTGATCGTTTTTCGTCCTGTCGAAACTTTCTTTAAACGACATCTCCTCATAAACCACTAAACCCAATTTCATTCAAACTTCAAGGAAATTTTGGTACGCAACTTTAGAAATTGTTCAAAGAAAATTTAATTCTAAGCAGAACTCTGGTTGCAACCGAAAAGAAAAAAACTTAAAAACATCTTTTTTTTTAGAAAACCCGAAAGACCGGCTTTTAAAATTTGGCATGAACCAATCTAATCAGTGTCTACCAAGGTTGTACAAATAAATGCCCTGGGGTAAAATTGGCCCCGCTCTGGGGGTCATTACTTTCTTATTTTTATATTGTAAAAACTTCAAAAAAACCTTCTTTTAAAAAAAGCCCAAATAGCTAGAGCTTAGATATTAAGCATGAAACTTTTTCTAGTGGGTGTCTACCAAGTTTGTTCAAATAAGGGCCCTGGGGTTAAAATTGGCCCCGCCCCGCGGATCATTGATTTTCCTTTAATGTATATAGTAAAAAACTTAAAAAAATCTTCTTTTAAAAAACCCTAAGAGCTAGAGCTAAGATATTTAGCATGAAACATCTTCTAATGGGTGTCTACACATTTTGTTCAAATAAGGGCCCGTGGGTTTAAATTGGCCCCGCCCCGGGGATCATTGATTTTCCTTATAATTATGTTTAAGTAAAAACTTAAAAAAATCTTATTTTAAAAACCCAAAGAGCTAGAATTTAGATATTAAGCATGAGTGAGTGACTACCAAGTTTGTTCAAATAAAAGTCCTGGGGACAAAATTGGGGTTTTGCTTTTCCCTATATGTGTATAGTAAAAACTTTAAAAAAAAATCTTCTTACAGCTAGAGCTAAGATATTTATCATGAAACATCTTCAAATTGGTGTCTACCAAGTTTGTTCAAATAAAAGCTCCTGGGTTAAAATTGGCCCCGCCCCGGGGGCCTATATACAGGTCAGCGATTTCAGGGCCATCATGGCCCTCTTGTTTTAATTTACTTGCAAGAATTAATTTGAAATCGTTTTACTACAACTGGATTTAGAATACCCTTTAAAAGGTGTTTTTATACACAATTATATTTTGTTATTTAATTACAGAATCTTTAAACGGAACTCTTTGTGACATTATGCAATCTTATAATTATGCTTTAGCTCACACACCCTATAAAGGCAGTTCAATGCCACAAGGCTTCCGTCAGTGTGGGCACATGATATTAGAATAATTTCAATGATATATCTATTTTGCGACATTGAGTTATAACGCACTATCACTTATTGGACATGCTTATTAAATTTGTGTTTCTTATGAAATTTAATAAATGGAATATCATATGATGTTTCTCAAATGTATTTATTGAAATTTGCAGCATGATCGTACCAAAGTTGACGCAAATATGAGACCATTTATACATGCACACTTATTTGATTTGTCAAGTGTATTTGGCTCGATACCATGTTAAATTAGTATCTCGGATGGATAAAATAAAAACAGAAGCTAGTAAATGAAATGTAATTAACTAAGCATTACTGTTTCCCGCGCTTTGGCGTAATTCATTAAATTTTCAAAGAGGTTAATAACGAAAAGCAACAATCGAAAAAGAGTAGTAACTTGTTTCACGCTTGACTCGGATATGCTTGACAAGACGAAGTCTCGTTGTCTTGTGTAAATCCTGATGTGGTACGACGTTCACAAAGAAAATGTAATGAGATCTAAACGAGTGTAATGTTTTCGTGAAATATGATTAAACAGAAATTGCATGAATATCTTAGCAATTTAACTAGAAAGTTAAAAAAACTATCCTTTACATGTTATGTTAGAATGGCCAGTGACATTCGTAATTTAAAATGACCAAGAAAATTTTTATAACAGAAAAACCTTTTAACCAGTACAAAACATTGGTTTACCCTTTACCTTTTATATAATATTACTACATTTTATGCATGGGTTTCCCCAAGTTTTTTTGAAAAGTTGCATTTTGGGAAAAATCAGCAAAAGGAAAGAATTAAAAAAAAAAGGGGAAATAGAAAACATATATATTCCCTTTCTCTGAAAAGTGGAGCTAAATGATTTTCAAACTTATTTAAAAAACAACTACTTTTTGGAAATGAAAAGGCCCCACCCCATTACAAAAATAAAAATTAAAAGTTCCCTCAAAATAGATATTCCGGGCTGCACGACATTTGGGCACTGAAAAAGGGTTTTTTGCCGGGGCGTTTTAAATTTAAGTTTGAGTGTAGGGCCCGTCAAAAAAAAGAATAGGTTTAAACAAAATTCCCTTTCAAAATGTTTTCACGATTAAATAAATGATAAACATTATCTACATTTTGAGAAAAAAAATCCTCAAAAAATCTCCTCGCAGAATCCTGAAAAATCGATCATAACGTTTAGAAAAAATCAATATTAAAATGTGTCTCTTAAATTACACCATACTTTAATGTTATGCACTTCCGGTGACGTCACGATTATCTAGCATACTTCAATTCCAGCATTTCTAATGCAAAGGTGAGTAATTTTAGTCATTTTTGTATTCTGCTGTATACATTTAAGGAAAAAATATTTTAGTAGATAAATATAATTGACTACGAGCCAATCGATTATGCAGATGCACAGGCGCTAGTCACATAATCAAATATTTTACATAACCGGTCTATATATGTTTATTTTATGCTTTTCAGGGGATTACTGATTTATCCGTGAAAATTTATATATTTAATAATTTCACAGTGAAAATTATCAAAATTTAATTTCACACTTTTCAAAGATGAGACTAATTTTTAAAGATTTTCCCCATGCCGTACCTAAATGTTATTATTGTTGACAATTCTGACATTGGCAGGGCTGTTTAGAGAAAAGCAAAGCTGAAATTGATAAATAACTTAAATTTCAAAAGTAATGAAAAAAAGAAAACTTCATACAAATTACCAATCACCAAATATCGTCTATACATTTTTGTTTCATTTTTACAGTCTGAAAAATACAATTCCTTCCACATGCAACCCAAAGAATAAGTAAATAACCCAGCGTTCGTAAGTTTATAAGGCAGCCTTTCAAAAAGTCCATGTGTTCCAATTTCCTAGTGCGCAAGAAGTTTCCTGTGTGTCAGTGTATTAGTTGTGTCCTTTTCAGTTCCCTGCGTATCAGTGTGTTAGTAGTGCCCTGCGTGTCAGTGTTTGAGAAGTATCCTCTTGGTATCAGTGTGTTAGTAGTGCCCTGTGTGTTAGAGTTTTAATAATGTCGTGCGTATCAGGGTATGAGTAGACCCGTGTTTCAGTGTTTGAGAAGTGTCCTGTGTATCAGCGCTGCATCTGCGTGTCAGTGTGAGTAGTGCTGTGTTTCAGTGTTTTAGTAATGTCCTGCGTGTCAGTGTTTGAGTACCCTGTGTTAGTGTTTGAGAAGTGTTCTGTGTGTCAGTGTTTGAGTAGTGTCCTGTGTTGCAGTGTTTGAGTAGTTTCCTGTGTGTCAGTGTTGCAGTAGTGTCCTGTGTGTCAGTAAATGTCCTGAGTGTCAGTGTTGCAGTAGTGTCCTGTGTGTTAGTGTCCTGTATGTCAGTGTTGCAGTAGTGTCAGTAGTGTCTTGTGTGTCAGTGTTTCAATAGTTTCCTGTGTTGCAGTATTAATGTGTCAGTTATGTGCTGTTTGTTAGTGTCCTCTGTTGCAGTAGTGTCCTGTGTGTCAGTATGTGAGTTGTGTCTCTTGAGTTCGTGTTGTGTGTATAGTGTCATGTGTGTAAACATTTGAGTAGTGTGTGAGTAGTTTTTATTAATTAATTAATATACGAAAGATTGTTAGTATTTTAGTGAAGTAGAAAGTGTCAGTGTTGCAGTAGTGTCCTGTGTGTTAGTGTCCTGTATGTCAGTGTTGCAGTAGTGTCAGTGTGTCAATAGTTTCCTGTGTGTCAATGTTGCAGTATTAATGTTTCAGTAATGTGCTGTTTGTTAGTGTCCTCTGTTGCAGTAGTGTCCTGTGTGTCAGTAATGTCTCGTGTGTTATTAGTAGTATCCTGTGTGTCGGTGTTGCAGTAGTGTCTTGTGTGTCAGTAATGTCCTGTGAATCAGTATTGTCCTTTGTGTGAGTGTGTTGCAGTAGTTTGTCAATAGTGTCCTGTGTGTGTCAATAATGTTCTGTGTGTCAGTAATGTTGTATGTGTCAGTATTGCAGTAGTGTCCTATGTGTCAGTATTGTCCTGTGTGTCAGAGTATTGTCCTGTGTGTAAATAATGTCCTGTGTGGCAGTAGTGGCCTGTGTGTCAGTGTGTCAGTAATGTCCTGTGTGTCAGTGTTGCAGTAGTGTTCTGTGTGTCAGTAATGTCCTGTGTGTCAGTGGTGCAGTAGTGGTCTGTGTGTCAGTATTGTCCTGTGTGTCAGTGTTGCAGTAGTGTCCTGTGTGTCAGTCATGTCTTGTGTGTCAGTGTTGCAGTAGTGTCCTGTGTGTCATTATTGTCCTGTGTGTGAGTTGTTGCAGTAGTCTCCTGTGTGTCAGTGTTGCAGTAGTGTCCTGTGTGTCAGTATGTGAGTTGTGTGTTGTGTGTATAGTGTCATGTGTGTAAACATTTGAGTAGTGTGTGAGTAGTTTTTATTAATTAATTAATATACGAAAGATTGTTAGTATTTTAGTGAAGTAGAAAGATTGTTAGTATTTTAGTGGAGTAGCGGGGGATCGAACTCGCAACCCCTAGATATGTAGTCAGACAGTGTTACCACTGCACTACAGCGCCCGCTCTGATTTATAACTATTTTGGAAGTCCCTTTATACAAACTTGAAATTGAGTAAATCAATTTAATTTTCACACCTAAATAGTTAATATAAGTTTCAAAGTTTCAAAGTTTATTTCAGAACTCAATTCATGTACACACATGACAATATGAGCTATAGCATATAAACGTACATTACATAAAGAGGCATAGCATACACATGAAAATAATAATATTAATACAATTCATCTTAACAAAATGGAGAGAAACACGCATTTTCAAGGACATGATAAACAAATATGTAGAAATGTTAACTATTCTCAAATTTTGTAATTATTTCCTTAACAAATAAACAAAAATTTCTGTATTCATTACAATGAGTCATATTCATATTCATAATAGATTTAAAAGTTAATATATTTGGATGTCTTAAATAATTATGATCTAGCATTCTTTTTCTTAGTACAGATAATTCATTGCATTCAAAGAGATAATGGAATTCATCTCCAATACTTCCGGAGCTGTTACAAAGAGTACATTTACGTAAATTTAGATCTATGCCATTCCAACTTCTGGTTTCTACAGGAAGTCTGCTGTTTCTTGTTCTAAACTTAATTACATATCTTAATAAGTTTTTTGGTGTATTTATTAAATAGGGTTCGAAATGGAATGTTTCTTTAAATAGTCTATAATTTTTACATTTATTTGATTCGTTTACTGTACAATACCAGTCATTTAAAAATATATCTGACAATTTTTGCTTAACATTGGCAACTAACCATTTGTGATTAGGAAACATCTGATAGGTCCATACATTAGGGTTTCCACATTTAACAAGTATATTTTTTATATGCTTAAACCACAGAAATGTCTGTCTATTGACATTACTACTTGTATTATAAGTTTTAAGAGCAATTTGATAAAATGTGCTAGACAATTTTAATTCATTAGGTACAACTAGATTAGACCAAAAATTAATCATTCTGTAATCAATATCAATAGAAATTGGTTTAACACCACATTCGCCGTACACAATACAATTTGGTGTACTAGATTTTAGGCCTAATATATGTTTAAGATATTTCAATTGTACTTTTTCAAGTATACTGTTATTCCCATATCCCCAGCATTCACAAACATATAATAAAATTGGTTTTACAAGTTTGTCAAACAAATCTATTTGCATATCTAAAGGTTATTGAAGATTTTTTGATTTTTTAATTAAACAGTACATGGCTTTTGTTGCTTGGTTAGCTATATAGGTCTTTGCTTTTAGGAAACTACCACTCCTACTAAATAATATTCCTAGATATTTGAATTCCTCGACAACTTCTAGATTTTCATTACCATATGTAAAACTATACTGCGTTCGCCTACCTTTTGAAAATATAAGAACTTTTGTTTTTAGATGTATTAACTGTTAATTTCCATTTGTCACAATAACTTTTATATAGGTTAATAGCTATTTGTAAATCGTTTGCTGACTCAGATAAAATAACCGTGTCGTCAGCATATAGAATAATAAACAATTTTACAAGTCCAAGTACTTCATCATTAAATGTTACACCTTCTATACTGTTACTATTTGAAAAATAATCATGCAAATCATTCAAATAAAAAGAAAAGAGCAACGGCGATAGATTTTCGCCTTGTCTAACACCAATGTTACATGGAAAGAAATCAGACTTTTCACCATTTGCACATACGCAAGTTTTCGCATTATTGTAAATGCTTTTGACAACATTTAAAAATTTACCACTTATATTATTCTTATTCAGCTTTATCCACAGTCTTGACCTACTAATGGTATCAAATGCACTTTTTAGGTCTATAAAAGAACAAAATAACTTTTTTCTTAGAATGGTGGAGTAGATCAATTAACATTTTTAAAACAAACATGTTATCTACAGTTGCAAACCCTTTTCGAAAACCAGCTTGATATTGATTTATTAGATCATGTTTATCCGCAAAATTTTTGTAATCGTATATTCAAAACAGAGGTAAATAGTTTTCCGAAACAACTCAGCAGTGTGATCGGTCGATAGTTACTAGGCTCACTAGCCTCACCCTTATTTTTATATATGGGATTTATAACACCAACTGTCCAAGAATCAGGTATTACACCATAGTTAAAAATAATGTTAAAAAGTCTATAATAAATATGTTTCATGATGGGGAAGGAGTGTCTAATATGTTCATTTAAAACATTATCTAAACCGCATGCTTTATTGTTCTTAAGTAATTTTACTGCAAATTCAATCTCTTGCAAAGATATTTCTTTATTTAACATGTCATCATTGATTACATGTAAATCCGAGATATCGTTGTCAGAGAGTGTATAGTTGTCATTACTACAACTATTGATATTTTTAAAATAATTATACAGATCGTTTAATTCAGAATTAACAACGTTTTTCTTTCCACCATTTAGGATCTTCCAGTACTCTCTAGGACTTGATTTTTTTAAACTTTTTAAGTTTTTTAACATTTGTCGTTTTAAATTGATTATAACTTTCCTTCAATTGTTTTTTTATATATTTTGCTGTTAGTTTTTAAAGTTTGTTTATAAACATCGTTTTTACGTAATTTGTACAAATATTTGGCTCGATGAAAATTTCGTCTAGCTGCTTTACATTCAGCATTTACCCAAGGCGGTAAAGGATTTATTTTCCGTTTATTACTGGAAGTTTGTTTTACACCATTTGTAATAAAGCTTTTTTCAATACTATTGCTAAATACTGAGCAAATTTCTGTCACTAACTTATTAACAATTTCTTGAGAACAGTTGTTAGTCTCCTGTATAGTGATTAATTCATCATATATTCTATTTACATTATCTGTATCTAAGTTATCAACAAACGTTTGAATATTATTTTGGTCCCACAATTTAGGTCTCTGGTTTTTGACAGTTGGTTGAGTCTTTACAAATGTATCCCTATGATCAAACACAACTTCAACAGGACAGTGAGCGTCAGAATACATGGGACAAAAATCTAAAACAATCAGTTTAGAAATAAAGGAAAACATGCTACTAGTACAAATAAATAAATCAATGGTACTAACATTTTTGCATGTTACGCAGCCACAGAGGTCACCATTTGTTCTTCCATTAAGTATATACATACTATTGTACTTTAAAAATCAATAAGTTTGTTGCCATAATTGTTAACAGAGTTATCTTCACTGTTTCTTAATTTATGCACATTTGTACTAATAAATATATTTGTTTCTTGTTCTAGTTCATTATATAAGTCTATCATATCATTTTCTCGAAATATGTCAATATCTGGTTCGGTGATTTCTTGCATTTGTTTTAGTCTAGCATTCCAATCGCCGAAAATACAGATGTGTTTATATTTACTTGTAAAAGTATCCAATTCTGTTTGAATTTCTAAGAAGGGGTCGTCAGATGCAAACATCGAATTTTCAGGTGGCACATAAACCACACCATACAAAATATCACCGTTTTTGGTAAGACTATTTGAAATAACAAACCATTGCACAAGTTGTGAATTAGTATCTATAAAAGAAATGTAAGGTTCAATATCCTTTTTATATGCAACACAAATTCCGCCAGACTTTCTACCTCTATTAACTATTTGTTTCCTGTGTTTAAAGTAAAGATTAAAATTTTCTAAAATAACAGTGTCAAGTGAATCAGTTTTAGTTTCTTGGAGTCCAATCACATCATATTTCTGAATAAATGAGTTAAATTCTGGACTTAATTGTTTTGACGCGAGACCGCAAACATTTAAAGATAAAAAAGATAAGTTTTTTGCTTGGCCTTTAAAATCAAAATCTAAATCCGGTAGCTTTTCTTGTTCGAATAAACAGTTTGAATAGTTATCAAAACATGCACTGTTATTTTCAGTCACGAATTCTCTCCGCCTGGCCTAGTGACCAGGTGAACTTGAATTGATAATTGCTCCTCCGCTATTTATTGAATCTATGTGAGGCCCCACCTGAGGGGACAGAAGTTTCGGTGTTGTTTGGTCGTTATATGGACTTGAAGCGCCTTCGATGAGACAATTGTCTACGTGTGCTCTCTTGATGTCAGTTTCCTCAAGGGGGGATCGAGCCTTATGTTTGCTCCTTTGTAGCGATTCAGAACGTTCTCTGTTTAATGCACCGTATCTATTTGGTGTTGAAAAGTCAATATATTTCCTCTCAGTGTCACGCCCGCGGTGTATCGCTTGGTTCAGATAAGGTCTATTCGGTTTGCGATTTTCGTTGCGCGATATATCACGAGTAGTCGAGTGGCTCGAATTGCTGCTTCTTTTCACATGTGTTTTTGTTCGTTCAGCGTCTGGGTTTCCATTGAAATTTTTCATTGTAAGTTTTGGGTCTTTGAGAGAGTCGGATTCAAGATCGTATAGAAGCCCATTTACATACAATTTGTCGCGAACTAATACACATTTATTGTACTGATCGTTAGTTTTTGAGTTTTTAAATTCGCGCATGACAGGAAATATTTGTTTTCGGCGTTCATCAATTTCAGGGGGGAACTGTTCGTTTATATATTTCCCAGTTTTTTTCTTGTTCAGATTTACACCTGCGTTTCTAATAAGATCTCTTTGGTTTGGGTCAAGGAATTGTGCGATAATTGGTCTAGGTTTTTTGCTGGTCGGGCCTCCTAATCTGTGTACTCGGCCGAATTTGATGTCTGTGGCCGTTATGTTGTCTGCGGTATTTACTGTTAGGTCATTATATAGCTGTTAGCTCTAAAGTGTTTTACAATGGCAGACATTCGTATCCTTGGGGTTATGATAAAGGACTTTACAAAAACGAGTAGTAAAAAGAAAATAAGTAAGACTGTTGACAGGCAATAAAAAAATGCCAGAAAAAAAAAGTTTCGTTAAATAGAATCGCATTTCTAATATTGACAGTAAGTAAGCGAAATTACTAGTAATACTTGTTGTTAATGATAAATGATGGTTTGAGACAAGTCTTTTTAATCTAATTTTCACATGTTAAAGATAACACTGTTAGTGGAAATTAGGTTAAAGCAGCAAAACTGCCACATACTAATTTTATGAAAATTTTAAAAATTGAATGTAAATTAAAGGTAAAACATTTTCGAGGGAACAAAGAAACTAATTTACATATCGCAAAGATCACTTTCAATCCACGTAAATTAGCAAATAAATTTCGAAACAACAACAAATATATGACACGTTAGATGAATTCTACCAAATGGTATTACCCCGCGGTCTACGTCGACCAAGGCACACAGTTGGTTATTCGCGTGAATCCTCAGCTACCTACCAGAATGTAGTTGGTAATTCGGATATTGCATGGATATTAACGGTTAACAAATGTTACGGTTATATAACAAAATATGTGTTTCCATAATATGGAACATAACATCCGTATTCTGTAACTGTGTTGTTCGTACTCTGTTCTGCGTTGCTCCTACTCTATGCTGTGTTGTCCATACTCTATGCATAATAATGCTGTGTTGTACGTGTTGTGTTATCCGTACTCTGTGCTGTGTTGTCCGTACTCTGTTCTGCGTTGCTCCTACTCTATGCTGTGTTGTCCATACTCTATGCATAATAATGCTGTGTTGTCCAAACACAGTGCTGTGTTGTCTGTACTCTGTTCTGCGTTGCTCATACTCTATGCTGTGTTGTCCATACTCTGTGCTGTGTTGTCTGTACTCTTTACTGTGTTATCCATACTCTGTGCTGTGCTGTCAGTATTTTGTGCTGTGTTATTCGAACACTTCGCTGTGTTGTCCATACTCTGTGCTGCGTTGTCCGTATTCTGTGCTGTGTTGTCCGTACTCTGTGCTGTGTTGTCCATACTCTGGGGTGTGTTGTCCATACTCTGTGCTGTGTTGTCCATACTCTGTATTGTGCCGTCCGTACTTTGTACAGTGTTGTCCGAAAACTGTGCTGTGTTTTCCGTACTATGTACTGTGTTGTGTGTACTCTGTATTGTGTTGTCTGTACTCTGTACTGTGTTGTAATACTCTGTGCTGTGTTGTGCTGTCCGTACTATGTGCTGTATTGCATTGTGCTGTTCATCAGTGCATGCACGTATGGGGTAATGAATTTAGAAGAGCTTCATTGTTTGAAAACACGTTTAAAATCTTACATAATAAAACAGGGTCCATGCGTGTGACATTTAAATCATCATGAATATCGTATAAATATGTATAATAATCATGAATATTTTATATTTATATAAAATATTTTGTATCTATGTAAACTTATCATGAATATTTTGTACCTGCAAATATATTGTAAAATGAAATTTTATATCTATGTATGAATACCTTATTAAAAAATATCATAAATGTTTTTATTGTACACCAGTCATAAATAAATGTACGTAAAACTGTCACGAATACTTATGAAAAGTTATCATTAATATCTAGAAAACCTTATTTTCATGTAAAGTTATAATCATAAATATGAAAAATATCTTATATGAATGTAAAGTCATCATAAACATCTAAAATATCTTATATTTATGTAAAGTTATCATTTATATCTGGAATACCTTATATTTATGTAAAGTTATCATAAATTTCTAGAATACATTATATTTATGTAAAGTTATCATAAATATCTAAAAAACATTATATATATGTAAAGTTTTCATAAATATCTAGAAAACATTATATTTATGTAAAGTTATCATAAATTTCTAGAATACATAATATTTATGTAAAGTTATCATAAATATCTAGAAAACATTATATTTATGTAAAGTTATCATAAATATCTAGAATACATTATATCTATGTAAAGTTATCATAAATTTCTAGAATACCTTATATTTATGTAAAGTTATCACGTATTATATTTATATAGAGTTATCGTGCATATCTAGAATATCTTATATTTATGTAAAGTTATCATATATGTCTAAAATACCTTATATGTCAAGTTATCATAAATATCTAGAATATCTTACATTTATATTCAGGTATTGGGACAGACGAGGTGATCATTGTACAGTTATTGTTTAGGGCTGTTGATGAGGCGAAGAAAGCGTACTCTGGTCAGAATATAACAAACGTGATGTCAGAGAAACTTCTTGATATAGCAAGAACAGTTGGGTAACCACGGAAACTGAAGGTATTACGTCATCCGCCAGCTACTAACTGGTTCTATAAGCTCTCTGGTTTAAGATTATCAAAACATTGTCACATTATCACATGTTTGTACGACATGTTTCCTGCTTTGCTGCTGGAGCAAATTTTCAGCTGCGCATGAGCAGAGCTATCGATCTTACGCTGTTGCTAAGTTAAAAAATAGATATTTTTCCTAAAAATAGATATTTTTTCCTAAAAATATATAATTTTCATATGAAATATAAAATTATATATTTGAAAGAATTCAAAGTCCCTGGCAGGATTCAAACCCACATCGGTGAGGAACAATGTGTTTCGAAGCTTTACTGGTGAAGGAATACCTTAAATGTGTCTTGGGTGTGTAAAAACACCAATATTCAATAATCTAGTTGGGATAGCTATGTCATAGATTCCAAAACCCAGGCATGACTCGAACCTACAGTTGTAAGAAGTATACGTGTTTTGTCATTGGCCTTAAACATTCGACCAAAACTGCCAATTTAGTTATTTGTATGGAGGTTTAGGGCCATTTTGTTCAGTTTTTCCTACTTATATGGCACATTATAATGCCTAGCAGTCAGCGCTACTTTCAGGTGATAGGCAATTTACACGCTTTAAATTCGTTATAACAATATTACGTGATATATATATTGTTTTCTAAAGAAGAAAAATGTATTCATTGCTTGGGCTAAACATGCCTCATTAATGTATGAATTATTTGTAGATAATTCATTATAGAAGTATACAGCTGAAAACACAATTATAGCTTGCTTTACACTTTAGTACCTACATTTTCAGTTTGTCATAAAATTGTTTCATTTAAAAGGCAGAATGCAAAATTCGCTTTTTTATTATCATATTATGTTATAAGTCATTTTTCTTACAGATACAAACAATGTGTATTTGTGAGAAGGGCTAAAGGGATGAACAGCACCGGCCACAAAAGTTACAGGAGATATAATTTGATCAGCATTGTACATGGACTGTTGTCCGACTATATGGATTGTCGGGCCTCGGTGACAAAAATGATGAAATAACATTGTGTTGTTATTTTCTGTATCTTAACGTTAGAAGATTCTCTCTCTTTTAAAATGTCTTTTTATAATAAATGGTATACAAAATTTCCCTTGTAAAGTAAGTGCAATTTAACATTGGCAAGATATTTACCCTTTGCGACGGATTGATTTTCAGAACAGAAATGCAAACACAATGTATATAAATCATAATTATTGTGTAAAATACATTGGAATTTTGACTTATAATATCAATTTTGAAAGATTCATGCAACTCTTTTCTTGGTAGAGCTGAATTTTAAGAATATTTAATGGAATCGATCTGACTTGAAATGGAAGAAATGATTTATCATTAATGGGTGGGGTAATGTTTTATACCAGTCTGAATGATTATGATTGTATTGATTATGCAGTGATGCGAATTTTTTTAATGTAATGAACTTTTGTTAAAGTGTTTTAGATTAAATAATTTTGTGTATTAATGTGTTACTTTGTTAATGACGAATATTTGCGTAGAGTAACAAGGTTTTTTTAATTTCACAGATTTTTCTTATTGAAAATTCCTATGATTAAAACATGCCATTTTAAGCATTTTATACTTCCCATTATTTTGAGGACTTTTTTCCTGTAGCAACACATATATAGTAGATCTAGATAACAAATATGCAAATATCTTTTCTGAAGGAATTTGTTTGAGGTTGGGTCTTATTTTTGGCTAAAATGCCTAGCCTAGTATGAACAAGTTGGTAGAAGACGAACACTCCTCTGCAGAATACACACGCCTGGATATTGTCTAAAATAAACCATATAATGAAAAAGGTCTACACTCAGAGGCACTTATAACCAGACACTCACATTTTTCTGTATAAATAGGTTATTAAATTTGTGGACGGAGTTTGTTCAACTTTGGACCATACAAAATTCAACATATACTTACAACATAACATTACTCTCTCTCTCTCCCTCTCTCTCTCTCTCTCTTATGTCGAGTCTCTAATCTACTATAGCAAGAAACAACAACAAATACATAGGAATAACGCTTAATATTTGGTAGTACATATTACAAATCATTAGAATCAATCGGTATTTATATGTATCTGTTATGTTCTTGTATTTGGGATTCATCAGATGTATAGCAGGAAACTCTGAAATGAAACTAAAACAGATCTGAATACGTGGTTACAAAATATTACAAACAGAATAATATTGTGTAATCTGTAAAATATTTAATAACAAATTATGCTCATTAAAACAAAGAAAATTCATTAAATTATGCAACTTTAATAACTTATATTAAAAAAAAAAAGATTCTTACATGTGTGTCATGTGAAGAACTGTACTGCTACTTTAAAATGAAAAATCACAGAATGACTGAAAAATCGTAACCAAATTAACAGTCTCTGAATCCCACTAAATCTGTTTGTTTACCAGTTCTAACACTTTGTATGTCCTCCCAATTGGCTATAACAACATAAACATATCTGCCTCACAAACAAGGGCTTGCTCGAGTTCCAGCAAATTTCGAGGGGCTTCTGGCCACTTTTTCATACGCCTGTTCAATTCAGCCAAAACATGTGATGATTAGATCTGGTGACTTGGGATGCAGGAGTTGCTGGATCTCGAGGAAGTGGAGAAATATTCCTCAAGCTTTATTGAGAAACTACGTCATAACCATGAGACAGGTGTTTAAACGTTGTTAAAGCCATGGGAGGACACACAAAGTATTAGAAATGGTTAACATAAGATTTAGTGGGATTCAGAGACTGTTCATTCTTGCCATTCTGTGATTTTTCATTTTGCAGTAGAATATTTGTTTTGTTATTTTCTATATTTCCTTGTCAATGAATTGTAAAGAAAATTCTAAGTAGTAAGTATGATGTGTTGAATTTTGTATGATCCAAAGTTTTAAAAAATCCGTTCTCAAATAACCAAATGTAAGTTTTGTGTAATAAGTGCCTCTGAGTGTAGTTTCTTATACAAATACAAGTAAAAGAATATTTAAGTAACTGGGATTGCTTTTACAGTTATCCATTTGTGCGTTAACCATTTACATTGTGCATAATATCTTTGTTGTTAAATTTTAATTTTTGAATAACTAATATATATGTACATGTATATATGTTTTACAGATGCTTCCTTACAAAATATTCTAAAATTAAGTATACAGACGTGAAAATGACGACAAGCTTTTGAAGAAATATGCCAGCTTATAAAACATACATTTCACAACAACAACAATAATTTAGAGTAAACATTGTATTAGATATACAAATTCAACAAATAAATAATGATTGTAAAATTAAATATCTGTAAAAACTATAAAGCACTTGCAAATGATAGCATATATGGTACCATGGACATTTCTCTTGAAAATACGCATTATCCAAGAATGTCAAAATTAGATAAAACAAGCAATTATCATAGTATTGCAAGCAATCCATAAGTCCCCTACCGGTAAGAGCCAAAGCAACATTCTGAAGGGCCATTCACTTATCTTTCTATTTTAAGTAAATTTGTTGAAAAAGTTCTTTAAAAGTGATCACAGTGAACATTTTTATGTACAGACAGACAGACGGACTGAAGGACACTCTAAAGTTATTTTTTAAACATCCCTGTTATCAAAATATAACATTTTAAAAAAAGGAGATAACAATGTCATACATGATGTGAGTGTAACAAAGAACAATTAGTAATGAAGGTATGAATATTTAATGTTTATTTTGAATTTGAAATAAATGAAAGTTAAAAGAACGAATAGGAAAAATTAAAAGTTTAAGGAAGAGATAATTCTGGAAATATGGATGCTAGATTTATAAACCTTGTTATATTATTATGATGTGGGAGTTTGAAGAAAATCCTATCATGATTGAAGAAGTTGGAATAAAAATTACCAATTTCTCAAAAAAAAGTCTAAGTTCAAAAGGGGCATAATTCTGGAAATAGTCTTGCTAGAGTATTGAACACTCACAAATGTTGAGTGATAAAAGCAAACATTTATATGAAGTAGATAGGTTCAGAAAAAAAGAAGTTATTAAAAAAAACAATGTTTTTTTCATGAAAATTTTAAGTTCAAGGGAGGTAATTCTGATAAATTTTGTGCTAGAGTTGTAAATTTTGTCACATATGATGTGGTTGATGACTAGCAACTTATATTTAAAGTTTGAAGAAAATACATTAAGAAATAAAGAACTTATGGTGAAAAAACTTAAAAACTAGAATCAGAAATCTTGATATTCAGTCTATTTGTTGCCATAGCAACCAGAATTTTCAATACAGGAAGATAAGAAAAGAATATGCATAATTTCCATACGGCCATCTACCCATATGTCAAGTTTCATAAATATATTTTCAGTACTTTTTGCGTTATCGCTGGATCCAGGTTATGTGTAAAATTTGCCATATTTTCCGTCTATTTGTTGCCATAGCAACCAGAATTTTCAGCATAGGAAAAAAAGAAAAAGACGTGCATAATCTCCATACTACCATCTATCCATGTATCAAGTTTCATAAAAATATTTTCAGTATTTTTAGCGGTATCGCGGGATCCAGGTTATGTGTAAAATTTGCCATATTTTCAGTCTATTTGTTGCCATAGCAACCAGAATTTTCAACATAGGAAGAAAAGAAAAAGACGTGCATAATCTCCATACTGCCATCTATCCATATATCAAGTTTCATTTAAATATTTTCAGTACTTTTTGCGTTACGCGGGATCCAGTTTTGTGGACGGACGGACTGACGGACGGACAGATGGACTGACGGACAGACGGACGGAGGGTAAACCTAAAGTCCCCTCCGGTAAACCGGTAGGGGACTAAAAAGATTCAAACTCGAATAGACCAATACACCGGAGCGGACGACAAGAAGTGATAGTCCGTTAGGGGACTACTAAAGTTTCCCATACATCACATCACATTATTCCCTGCGGTCTGGAGACCGCAGGGTATTGGTACGCGTTTAACTTTTGAGGCATGGAGGAGCACGTGACCTGTTTTCGGTACATGGAGGAGCATGTGATCTGTAAACCGTACATGATTGGTTAATTGACCTTTTCGAAAACCTAGCTAAACGCCCATTCTCAATAAAACAAGCAATTATCATAGTATTGCAAGCAATCCATAAGTCCCCTACCGGTTAGAACCCCATCAACATTCTGAAGGGCCATTCACTAATGTTTCAATTTTTCTCTATTTTAAGTAAATTTGTTGGAAAAGTTCTTTAAAAGTGATCACAGGAAACAGTTTTTATGAACAGACAGACAGACGGACTGAAGGACACTCTAAAGTTAATATTTGAAACATCCCTGTTACCAAAATATAACATTTTAAAAGCAAAATTCTTAAGCAGGAGATAACTCTTGAATTAAAGATGGAATTTCATAAAAAAATTTCAGCTCTTTTTGACTTATCACAAATATTGTTATATTTGCCATGTTTTAAGCCTATTTGTTGCCAAGGCAACTGATATTTTTTCAAAATAGGAAGAACAGATAAGACATGCATAATCTCAAGACTGCCAACTACCCATATGTCAAGTTTCATAAAAATATTTCCAGTACTTTTTGAGTTATCACTGGATTCAGTTTATGTGTAAAATTTGCCATATTTTCAGTCTATGTGTTGCCATAGCAACCAGAATTTTCAACATAGGAAGAAAAGAAAAAGACGTGCATAATCTCAAGACTGCCATCTACCCATATGTCAATTTTCATAAAAATATTTCCAGTACTTTTTGCTTTATCACTGGATCCAGTATATGTGTAAAATTTGCCATATTTTCAGCCTATTTGTTGCCATAGCAACCAGAATTTTCAACATAGGAAGAAAAGAAAAAAACGTGCATAATCTCAAGACTGCCATCTACCCATATGTCAAGTTTCATAAAAATATTTCCAGTACTTTTTGCGTTATCACTGGATCCAGTTTATGTGTAAAATTTGCCATATTTTCAGCCTATTTGTTGCCATAGCAACCAGAATTTTCAACATAGGAAGAAAAGAAAAAGACGTGCATAATCTCCATACTGCCATCTATCCATATACCAAGTTTCATAAAAATATTTTCAGTACTTTTCAAGTTATCGCGGGATCCAGTTTTGTGGACGGACGGACTGACGGACTGACAGACGGACAGACGGACGGACGGACAGACGGACGGACGGACAGACGGACGGAGGGTAAACCTAAAGTCCCCTCCGGTAAACCGGTAGGGGACTAATAAAGCATTTGAGGTTGAAAAATATTAAAAATTTGATGTTGTCATTGTGTCATTTTTTATCGCTGAAGTAAAAGTTTAGGGTATTTTGCAAGTTTGCCAGAAATATTTTGAACAAGAAACTATGATATAACAGGATGACATTTATTTCGGTAATGACACTGTATTTCTTCGGTAACGTAGATTTCAGACCTAATAATGTAACATATTGGCTGTATATTAATAACAAATGTCTGTAAAATATATCAAAATCTGTATCTAGAGGGACTTTCTAACCTAGGAAAATTCAAAGAAGTTGGGTACCTTGCTAATTTTCAGTCAATTTCTTCAAAAATAAATATTCGTAGAAAGCAAAAATAGTCAATTTTGAAAATGATTATTTTATGTCTTCATTCAAAGGATATATATCATATATAATATATGAGAGGTCGAATGCATACACAATTTTTGTATTAGCAATTTTTTTCTCAAAATATGCAACTTTCCACTTTCTTAATATTTGGAAAATTTAGTACTAAACAGTTCGATATTTATCCCCATATAGGATGTCACGTATGTTTCATTTTATTCAAATGCAAGTAAAGGTTGAGAAAAACAATTTTATTTTTTGTAAAATAATTTATATTTATGGATATTATTTTAACATTATTATATATAGAATGAAATACGGCCAGTAAGCTCTTTGCAGAAACGAATTAGTTGTTGCTGAGAACATCAATATCTTGTAATAATATTTTTAACATTTCTGCTGGTTACATCAACATATTATTAACATATCTTTCCTTTATAAAACATTTTGTGTCTTCTTACATCTAATACAAGGTAACCGTTACTAAACAGGCATGCTAATCCCAACTTTATCTTTAATTTTCAAAAATTGTTGAATTGTAAGTTGGAGTAACGTATGTTTCACACTCGCTTATTTATGAACTTTATCACGGAATTTAAACTTACATGTAAAATCGACTTTTTTTATTTAGGAATCAAATTGCACATCATTCTATTGTCATAAAATTTGCGATTTCATGTTTTTATATATGCATGTGTAAACAATATAAAAAGTCTGTTTGATAAAAGTAACGTTTTGTTTCACTGTGGTTACTTAAACAAGTAAAAACACCGACCAAAGTTAACAAAATTTACTTACTAATGTCAAATAGAAGTTAATGTTGATGTTATACGTGCTTTCTGACTTCAATTTCCCTTTTGATAAACTTACTTTAAAAAAGTTGATAACGTATGTTTCTGTAACGTATGTTTCATTTTTACATTGAAAGTGGGGTTAAAAATGACGCAAGACCGATTAAGCCGCCATAATTTTGTGGTTAATTTATATCAGAGTTACACACATGTTAATATTCTTTCTTGTTTGGATTCTTCTTTGAATGGATTGGCTCTTAAATAATGGTAACGTATGTTTCTTTTTAAAGTGCTGTTGAAAAGATTTGAATAAAAAATGAAAATTTCCGAAAATAGAATGATATTTGAGAGGCTGCAAGCTTATTTTTACTTATAATTATACATATGCTGTATTATTCAGCATGCATCGATTCAATTATGTAATTTGGGTTTCACTTCTTATTGTTTTAGGTTTGTCACTATTTATTTATATGCGTTTGGCGACATTTGATCATTCATTATACCAATGAGATTTTAACAGTCAAATATAATTTTTACCAATAATCAAAGTGCATATACACACAATAATGACTAATTGCACATGTTTCGTTTATTCTGGAACTTATTTTTTTCTGAAACACAATTTCAAAGTTGAAAATTCTAGGTGGCGGACAGTAACGTATGTTACATTTTAGGGCATTAATGGTACTTGAAAAGAAAAATAAACAGATAGAAATTATAAAACTGAGAGTGTCCCTATTAGACAAAGTGGCAGCCACCTTTCTAAACGACATTTTGACCTCAAGAAAAAAACCTTCGTTATAAGAGCTACCCAGTGGAACATCAAATGCTGTGTTTTATTTGAGAATGAGCGTAAATAACGTTTGCCGGTACGTTACGGATTTACCCTGTAGGGAATTAGTCCGAATTACACCTAATTAAGAACAAAAAACTATTTGCGGTGATATTTTTAATTTTCTATAATTATTTTTACCGTTTAAGGTTTGGAAAAACTTGAATGATGTGTTTTTGAAAATTATCAATGTTTCTTTAATATCTATGCTCAAATTTTACAAACAAATAAATTTTTTATACTTTGAAAATCTACAAAATTAAAAATATCGTAGTGGCATCTGCCCATAATAAATAGAGATATTTTCTGCGTAAACTTGTGTGTTTACTTCATTTATTTTTTGCTCATTTAATCATTTTCTTAAAAAGAAATTCGACCTTCTCCGGTCTTCAACGGTCACCAGTTTCCAAAGACCTTCTTCTGTATTGATCGTTTATTCAATTGTCAACTATATTCCTGATACAAACGTTTATTTATCCCCCCACCCCCAAATACTAGTAATGTTGAAAATAGTTAAATGAAATATCTTTATATCATTAAAATGTTCACCGCAGGAAACCGTTTTACTTGTCTCCTATTGACGATTTTTCAGATTTGGGCAATGGACATTCTTTTTCAATAATGCTTTTACCGTATGAAAAAAACTGTTAATCGGAAGGTGCCGAAAAGTTGCGTTTACTGCTTCTCGTCCCTTTCCGTCAAATAGCTGATGCAATCACAACTACTCGGTCCTTTCCGTCAGTGATAATAGATAATAGCCGATGCAGTTCCGAATGAGCCGAGATGTTGCGTTGGGGTATACTTTACAAAAATAGAAAATATTATAAATAGAACATTACGCGTAAAACTGCACGTTGATTGGATGTTACTTACGAAATTTCTTTAAATAGAAACAAAAACCTATAAAATATGATTCACCCCGTTACTGTCAACAATTTTTGAATATGTAGAAAGGTAAGGTTGTTTTTTCATTCGTTCATTACAAGTATTGGTTTACTCTATAAAAATGACTATATACAGAAATTATATCATTGCAATGTAGAAGTTAATTTGATTATATCTAATTAAAAAAGACTGTTCTGTATAAAAAAGAAGATTTTCTGTAAATTGCACAATCAATAGTACATTCTAAATGTATGACTAAGTTGTTGAGTAATATGAGTAAGATATCATAGGCACTTGGTTTCGGGATAAAAAGCCTTTTGAAAAGTTTGTAGAACTCAAATTTGATTGAATGTAACGATTTTTAACGTAGATCTTTGTATCGATCGTGTCGGAAAAATGACGGTTTTAGAAAAGAGCTAGACATCTACGTTAAAAAATTGTAACATTCAATTATATTTGAGTTCTACAAACCTCTTGGTTATCTTATCCCTACTGCAGTATGTAAGATATGTTAAATTTTGGTTCCGACTGTGAATTGTTTTAATAATTCCGACTCTGAATTCAAAACATCTCGAGCAATTCGATCAAGTTTCAACGCAAGTCTTCTTTGAAATAAGTAGCCTTTCGGGGCAATACGCAGCTGTCTGAGGGCCATATACCTTCCATCGTCTGACCAACCAGGTCCGTAAACTTGCATTTTGCCCTAAAGGCCATGTTTTATTTGTTACATTATACGATTACCGAACCTCAATCCTTTCATCCCTTTTGTTGCTGTCATTTTTAGTATAATTTGCTTTCATATAATAATTTTATTTGTACAGTGTGTGAAATATCTCGATCCCTAGTCGGATTTTATTTTCATGCGATATTAGCAAAAAAACATGTTCTTTTAATATTCCGTTTTTGTTAATCAAATTAAATATTTACTGTAATTTTTTTAGGCAAAAAAACCCGGACTTTCACAAACTGTATAAATCAAATTTATAATTAAATTAAATACAAATCATGACTTTTGATCAACATGTAATAATTTTTCGTGAAACATAAAAATAAATTCAGTAAAACGAATCATTTAACAAAATAAAACATACAATTTACCTCATTTGCATACGCCCTACTTTATTTAATATGACATCTTGGTAGCCGGTCTGTATGCGATTTATGGACCGGATGACGTCATTTTAAATATAGAGGAGCGTATGCATATGAGGTATAATATTTATTATAAATATGTCTTATAAATATGATTTTCAGAAAGAAAGAAAGAAAAAAAACGCTTAAAACCTGGGCCAACAACCCTAAGACGATCGAGCCGAGCCAGTTTCCATGATAAATCAGCCAGTTCACAGAAAACACAGGGTCAAAATGCATCAACAACATCATCCACACCAGACTCGACACCGGCGCCTTACACAACGGGTTCCGGCACATCGGGTTTTCGGACATGTGCCTCGGCATCATTTCTCCGCCCGCCCGCCTCAACAACAAGAAAAAGGAAAACTTTGTATTATCCTTGAATACTGGGAAAGTGCCTCAGAATGCTCAAAGTCGTATAAAGACTGAACAGGTGGGGCAGACTCAAAATCATCATCATTATTCACCTGTAAATATTTATTTCGGAGAAAATTTCTCTGTCCGTCTTCAACAATGGTTCAAATTTCTTGCTTTAATAGAAAATAATAGCACTGGTGGTATAATTCACTGTCATTTCACCCCGAATAGAAAACTTGCGACAATGAATCTCTCTGCCGACGGAATCAAGATTCGAGATGTGCCTAATGCTGGGGGGTCCTCTGTTAACTCAGAGGTGATGTCTTTCGAAATCTTACAGAAATGTTTTAAAGGCAAGCTACTCAAGGTAAGAAAAGTCCGTAAGAATAATAAGTGAAATATTTTATTCGCCTGAAATGATATAGAGTTGTTACACAAAAATCCAAGAGAAAATTCCTTATTATATAACAGATCATTTAAGTAAATAGTTATTTACTAGATTGTTTTGAAGGCCTACCATTGAACCACAATGTATTTATATTTGATAAATAAAATACAAGTTTTTATATCATAATTTCAGACAGAAATGGAGGTTGCGTATTTTCCTGAAGGAGGTTCAATCACAGATTATGTGTGCGAAATATATGGTACCAAAGTGGGTGTGTCTGTCACACGTGCAATGAAGTTTGGAGGCGGGGCATACACAGACGAAGATGCTCAACATTTACTTACAAAAAAGCTGAAGGGTATGCTATAATATATTGTTGATTTGTTTGCTCCTGTGCTGTGTATCACATTTCTGCTGAATTTTTTAATATCTTAGTTTATTATTTTTTATTATGCACCCTGGCATATAGTAACTTAACCGTCCGTCTCTCCGTTCGCGTATATGAGGTTAACTTTAACCGACAAGTTGGATATAAGTGCAATATTAAATAACTTATCAGTACTTGATCTTAGCAAGTTACACAACTATTGCATTCATTTTCCCTCGTTTTAATTAAATTGTGTTTGTGGTCATATTGGTCAAGGTCACTGGTGCTATAAATGTATTTTTCTGAGATCCGTTTGACTTCCTGTACGATTTACAGGGAAGAACTGAATACTAGAGGGATTTTTATTGGTCATTTTAAGATTTTAAACTGAAATAGAGGAATATCACTGGCCATTTTAAAATTAGTATAATAATCTAAAGGATCTTTCTGAAACGTATGTACGTCCAAATCATAAAAGTTCTAAATGAGCATCGGAAACTTACTTTCCTGTTAAATTTCTGGGATATTTGAAATCTGTGAACTCTAAAAAATATATTCAACATAAGAATTTACCAAATTATAAATGACATGTGCATACCGAAAGACACCATGCAAGTAAAAGCAGCTTTACCTCGAGTATCTTTTTAAAGATACTTCTTGTTACACCTACTCACTCAGCCTTTTTGTAGACCCATGTCTTTCATATTTAATGCAATCATTTTTCATGGTTGGATTTTACATGCACCATCACTGCATAGGTCATATTGCGACTTTTCAGCTTTACATGTATTTACCTCAGGTACCCCGTGTATTATTTTAGGCACAAACGGGCACTCAGCAAGCCGGATAGCTTCCTGTAGGATTCGAACCCACAGTGGTGAGGGGCAAGTGGTTTGAAGTCAATGACCATAACCACTCCGCTTCAATACCTGTGATGATATGTTCCTTTAATAAGGGATCACTGGAGTCAATGTCACCATTGCTAAAACACATTTCATACGTTTGCTCCTACAACCTTTATGTTAAGTAGAGAGACACCATAGGCAGTCTTTTGGTTCTAAATTTTTGTAACTATTGCATATACATGTACAGTCAATTCATTTATCATTAACAACAAGTATTGATATCAGCTGACTTATTGTCCATAAAAGAACTGTGATTATATTTAACGGAACATGGCTTTTTCTGATATGTTTTTATTGCCTGTCAACAGTGTTACTTTTTTCCTTTTACTACTCGTTTGTCCCTTATTATAACCATTCGAGCAAGGACAAGAATGTCAGCCATTGTTAAAAACTTTAGACCTAACAGGTTTATTTACTATTTAGGTGTGAAAATTCAATTGCATTAACTCAATTTCAAGTGTTCTAATGTGATAATGTATAAAGGAACTTCCAAAATAGTTATAAATCAGAGCGGGCGCTGTGGTGCAGTGGTAACACTGTCTGACTACAAGTCTAGGGGTTGCGAGTTCGATCCCCCGCTTCTCCACTAAAAAAACTAAATACTAAAAAATTAAATACTAATAAATCAAAATTAATTAATACACAGGACACTACTCAAACACTGATCTGACGCACAGTACACTAATAAATCACTGACTGACACAAAGAACACTACGGACACACAGGGCACAACGCACACACTGACCTGACGAACATGACACTATACACACACACTGACAAACAGTACACTACATATACTGACACGCAGGACACTACTAAAAAACTGACCTGACACAAAGGACACTTCTAACACGCACGTCACTACGGACACACAGGACACTTCATACGCAGGTCACTACGGACACACCATACACTATTCACACGCACGCCACTACGGACACACAGGACACAACTCACACGCACGTCACTACGGACACACAGGACACTACTCACACACACACCACTACGGCCACACAGGACACTAATCACATGCAGGTCACTACGAACACACAGGACACTACTTACACGCAGGACACTACTCACACACACGCCACTACGGCCACACAGGACACTAATCACAAGCACGCCACTACGGACACACATGCCACTACTTACACGCACGCCACTACGGACACACAGGACACTACTTACACGCACGCCACTACGAACACACAGGACACTACTCACACGGACACACAGGACACTACTCTCAAGCACGTCCCTACGGACACACATGACACTACTTACACACACACAGAGGACACTACTGACTGACACGCACGACACTGCCTACTAATCAAACACTACTATAAAACTGAGCACTGACCTTACACACGGCAAACATGAGTCACCAGTCTGGTGTACTTGAAGGTCTTGTGCTAGAGTTAATGTGGCCAAGTATAAAGACAATACACAAAGAACTTAAAAAGTTATAATCTAGTGTTAGTAGTTTGCGGATAGCAACGGCAACGATGCCGTCATGACTGTTACAATACCATTATTTTTTTAAAGTCGAGCTAAACAACGAACGAACGTAAACGTAGATACCCTATCTTGTAAAATGGATCCGTCGTGACCTACTCACTAGTTGCAAAGAACATAATATATCGGGGTATCTCTAAATTGTGTAAAATACATATTTTTACCACAACGATCACGTTTACCTTTTAGATCACATTAGATCTGCAATGATAAAGCTATTTACATTATTAAATGACTGTAATATGATCTATATGATAATATAGAGTAAAATATACAAACGGCTGTTTCAGCAAATCAATAAGCAGTAACTGCAATTTCTTCTAAAATAAAACCACAAAAGAACAAATAAATAACATTTAAAAAGTTAAAGATTATTTAAGCTTATTTGCCTGTTTCCTTTGTACCAGCACTGTTATACAGTTTGAGAGGGCAATCAAATAGACAGCCAACTTTTTGTTGGGAAAAACCAATTACTCCGAAGTTGCAGCCTCATGTTCAGACCATTATCGTGTGCACGTTGTCATTTTCTAGACTACGTGTACGTTGACATTTCTGTCAGTTGGACAATTTTTAAATAACTACAAAAAATGACAACAGGAAACACGCTATTTTACATTAAAACATTCTCTTATACATTTCAAAACGCGAAATGTTACTTAGCACTGACAAACTATAAGTTATAAAGTTATTAGCAACACTTTTACACCACAGGCACGAGTATCGGACCTTGGATGAAAAAATATGACCAGATTGATAATAAAACCTGTGTTCATCTTAAAAGTGTCAAAAACAAAACAAAAATGTAAATAATGACCCCCTTTAAAATATACTATAAGTTAAGAGAAGGCCGGAAACTCCAGATTCGAGCCTACGAGCAAGGGATTCATTTCCCGAGCCGTTGTGAAAACAATTGGCCAGACAATTAAAAACGACTTTTATCACTATTTCACGTTTGTATTAAGCTTCCAAATGAGACCGACCCCAAGTCTCTAGCCCTTCCCGTTCATGAAATATCTATCAGGAAACGAGCGAATTCGTGCTAAAAATCCTTGGTAGACAGAATTGCGGCACAACGATTCGGTACGTAAACTTAGACTAATACATGTTTGTCAGCTGAGTACGGGTCAAAATCACTTGAATTTACTAAATAATATTACTAAATACATTAAGTTGGACCACTCACAACCGTCAGTAGCATCTGATACACACGAGATTCGAGTTTCAAACATTTACACGGTCTTTCAATCGCTTTCTACGCCATTATGCATCCTTGTGTGAAACGTTGCGGTTTCGTTGCTATTGGCCAATCAGAAGACTCGTTACAAAATATCGAACAGCTGATTGACAATGGCGTTGAAAGGAATCTAAATACCGTGGAAAGGTTTGAAATTCGAATTTTACGATACTCGTGCCTGTGTTTTACACAAGAGTGTGTACGTTGTCATTGACAAATTTGTAAATATTGTTTGAATGCTCTCAGAAAATACAAAACGTTAGACGATACCAAATGCATTTCTAGAAAGCATCGGCGCCGCGGTCGGTAGGCTTTGTAGCATAATTTAAATCGGCTCGATAGAAAAATAATCACTAAAAACTTACCCCAGTCGAGCTATTTTGGCCATGTACATCGACTTTTGTAGTCACGTGACCAAAGTTGCTTACCCAAATGTCGCAAAAATGTAACAAAGTGGCTCTAGTTTTATTGTTGATGAATATATTAATGCCTTCATACTTGGCACAACAATCCTTTGGTATATTCCTTCAATTGACCAGACTGACCTTGACCAAAAATCTTTAATGACCTTGACCTTCAGGGTAAAATTATTGAATTTTGTTAATTTTGTGTAGCAGCGATAGAGTTCCCCCTGTGTGTGCGTCCGTCTCAAAACTTGTCCAGGATACTTCACAAGAATTACTGGTGCAATTTCATCCAAACTTTACAGGAATGATCAGTACCAAGTCTAGTTGTGCATATCATCGGCATTTTCTAGTCCAATGGCTTTTGTCAGAGTTATGACCCTTTAATAATTTTTATTTTTAAAATGTGTCCGGACTATTTCTCTTATACCACTGAAGGTTTACATGATTGATCGGTAGCTCAAGTACTTACACATATTACACATATTTTCCGGTAAAATGATTTAGGGCGAGTTGTGGCCCTTGAATATAAAAGACGTTTTGGCCTGTGAATGATTTTTGTGTTTACTGCTACATGCTTTAAATAGATTACTTCTTTGTCGTCTGTCTATCTGTCACAAAATTGTCCGGACTAAACTTTACAGGAATGATCAGTACCAAGTCTAGTTGTGCATATCGTCGGCATTTTACAGTTTTATGAGTTTTGTCAGATTTATGGTCCATTATTCTTTAAATGTTTTGTCTAGACTACTTCTCTTATACTACTAATGCAATCTGAGTGAAACTTTATAGGATTGATGGATTTTTTTTATGTTATTGGCTATAACTATTGTCCCATCCCATCTCAGAAACTGGTAGAGATATTAACTTGAACTATAACTAAGGAGGCTGAAACCTATTAACCTAGTGTGACATAAACATTTTCTTAATGAATTCAAAATAACATGCAAACCTATTAACCTAGAAAAAATACGCACGGGCTATGTCAAGTTTGCAACCATTCCGCCCGCTTGAACCAAGTACATGTATATGCAACCACTTCACATCCTGCCCATATTAACTGACATGATTTATTTCATTTCAGGTGTGATACAATCAAGCAGAAATACTCTAGAGAACTGGACCAAGCAGGTGTTGCACGTGTGGTCAGTCAGCAATGACGTCACTAATACCCTGATCAAAGTCTACGAAATGTTACCAACAGAATTAAGATCAAACACGGTCGTTTTGATAACAACAACAACAAAGACATGCGATTTCATTTACCTAAATTGATGAGTTTTTTGTAATATATTAAACATGTACATTTAACTGTAAAATAATAAAATATCTAACGGTTGTGATGAAGAGCGTGCATTTTATTACCACTGGGAACAAGCAGATTTGTATACACATGAGCAATGGATCTGAATATATTAAACAAATTGTCATGGAATTTCCATCCCCTTTTTTCAGTAACAGAGCAATCGACAAAACGATTAAAATTATGACAAAATCAAAAAATAAATTCATATGGATATATGTTTTCTTTTCTATTGTTATTTCATGGTTGAAATTATATTTTATCGAATACAACTGTTCCATTTTTCTTTTTTTGGTACATTCAATCATTTTAATCGGCACTAACTTGTCATTAAATACTTCATTATAACCAATTCAACCAGCGTACAATATAAAAGATTCCTATACCCTGTCTTAGTTAAAATACATCCTTTCCAACAACGCATGTATATAATAGCACAAGAGTCATATTGGTTGCAAAATGGCGGGAACAAGATATTTTTTTGTAAACCTTGTTGGTGTAACTTTGTTATTTCAAAAAGAAACAGAACAAGCAAATGTGATTGGGCTCAGCATCGGTATCGGTTGTGTCGGGCTATACTCACTTTTTTATTTTCAATTTTCAGTTGTTACATATTAAATGATGAGTGCAATTGTAACGTATTAAATGATAAGTGCAATTGTAACGTATTAATTAATGAATGCAATTGTAACGTATTAAATGATGAGCGCAATTGTAACGTATTAATAAATTATGAGTGCAATTGTAACGAATTAAATGATGAGTGCAATTGTAACGTATTAAATGATGAGTGCAATTGTAACGTATTAAATGATGAGCGCAATTGTAACGTATTAAATGATGAGTGCAATTGTAACGTATTAAATGATGAGCGCAATTGTAACGTATTAAATGATGAGTGCATTTGTAACGTATTAAATGATGAGCGCAATTGTAACGTATTAAATGATGAGCGCAATTGTAACGTATTAAATGATGAGTGCAATTGTAACGTATTAATTGATGAGCGCAATTGTAACGTATTAAATGATGAGTGCATTTGTAACGTATTAAATGATGAGTGCAATTGTAACGTATTAAATGATGAGTGTTATTGTAACTTATTAAATGATGTGTATTAAATGATGAGTGTAATTGTAACGTATTAAATGATGAGCGCAATTGTAACGAATTTAAATGATGAGTGCATTTGTAACGTATTAAATGATGAGTGCAATTGTAACGTATTAAATGATGAGTGTTATTGTAACGTATTAAATGATGAGTGCAATTGTAACATTTTAAATGATGAGTGCAATTGTAAACGTATTAAATGATGCATGCAATTGTAACGTATTAAATGATGAGTGCAATTGTAACGTATTAAATGATGAGCGCAATTATAACGTATTAAATGGTGAGTGCAGTTATAACGTATTAAATGATGAGTGCAATTGTAACGTATTAAATGATGAGCGCAATTGTAACGTATTAATTGATGAGCGCAATTGTAACGTATTAAATGATGAGTGCAATTGTAACGTATTAAATGGTGAGCGCAATTGTAACGTATTAAATGATGAGTGCAATTGTAACGTATTAAATGATGAGTGCATTTGTAACGTATTAAATGGTGAGCGCAATTGTAACGTATTAAATGGTGAGCGCAATTGTAACGTATTAAATGGTGAGTGCAATTGTAACGTATTAAATGATGAATGCAATTGTAACGTATTAAATGATGAGCGCAATTGTAACGTATTAAATGATGAATGCAATTGTAACGTATTAAATGATGAGTGCAATTGTAACGTATTAAATGATGAGTGTTATTGTAACGTATTAAATGATGAGTGCAATTGTAACATTTTAAATGATGAGTGCAATTGTAACGTATTAAATGATGAGCGCAATTGTAACGTATTAAATGATGAGTGCAATTGTAACGTATTAAATGATGAGTGCATTTGTAACGTATTAAATGGTGAGCGCAATTGTAACGTATTAAATGATGAGCGCAATTGTAACGTATTAAATGATGAGTGCAATTGTAACATATTAAATGATGAGTGCAATTGTAACATATTAAATGATGAGTGAAATTGTAACGTATTAAATGATGAGTGCAATTGTATTAAAGTATGAGTGCAATTGTAACATATTAAAGTATAAGTGTCACTATCATATAATTGTTTATGTTAATTTGTTGATAATGAAACAAATTAATCCAATAGTATGTTCAGTTTGAGCCTCACCACTATTCTTTCACTTAAAGCAACACTACATGTTCTGGTGCACACTTGTAGATGGTCACGTTACCAGCTTTCTTACTCGATGGTTTGTCTATATTGCTAAAATACACATAATTAAAGCTTCATTATATATATATATATATATATATTTTACTTATATCTAAAGTAAAATCTCTAACTTGCCGTATATAAGCAAAAACGCTAATTTAAGTTTGCCGTAGCTTTCGGTCTTGCGGCCTTCTTCAGCAGCATTTATTCTACATACAAATATATCAAACAAAACAATGGAAATATATCAAACAAAACAATGGAAGTGACGTAACGGGCTAAAAAGAAAATTCAAAACAAATATTACAAGAACTGAAGAACAAGCAATGAAAGAGCTCTTAAATAATGATACTTTAGTTATACGTCCGGCGGATAAGGGGTCTGGTATCGTTGTTATGGATACAGATGACTACAGAGGTAAACTTCAGGCCGAGATGACTGACAATGCCACTTATATGGAGGTGAACGAAGATAGAACGAAAACTATTGAAAACAAAGTGAAAAAGATGGCAGATGATATGTGAAAGAAAGGATCAATTTCAAAAGATTTAAAAGGATATTTGACGTCGTCTGGTGGTACATCGGGTAAACTGCAAGGTAATCCAAAACTGCATAAAACAGGGGTGCCATTGAGAACAATAGTAAATGGGAGAAATCATCCTACGGAGAAAATGGCAGAAATAGTAGAAATGGAGCTACGCGCCCATGTGACATCACTTCCTTCATATATTAAAGACACCACTGATTTCTTAAGAAAATTAGAGAATATTAAACAACCACTTCCGGCAGGAACAATTCTTTTCTGTTTAGACGTGAAAGCTCTGTACCGAAGTGTCCCACGGGCAGAGGCACGAGATGCGGTTGCACGAGAATTAAATCAACGTGCCAACCCTAAAATACCCACAGAAGATGTTCTTAATATGATGGACACTGTCCTTGAAAATAACACTATTTCATTTGATGGAAGAAAATTCACGCAGACAGAAGGAACAGCGATTGGCTCACGATTAGGGATGAATTACGCATCTACATATCTTGGATCATGGGAATCACAGCTGATGACGATAACAGAAAAACTTCCGCTTGAGTATTTCCGGTATGTTGATGACGTTTGGGGCCTTTGGACTCACGGTATCGAGTCGTTAAAAACATTCCATGAGCTTGGGCATAACCTTCATCCAAGAATAAAATTAGAATTAAGATATTCAGCTGAAAAACTTAAGTTTCTCGACGTAATGACGAAGATTCAGAATGGCATTTTAATAACAGACCTATACACTAAACCCACAGATAAACACATGTACTTGCATAAAAATTCGTCTCATCCGGAATCGACAAAAAAATCAATACCATATGGACTTGCCCTCCGTGCTAAGCGAATATGTACTAATGAATCGACGTACAAACAACATAGAGAAAATATTAAAACTCAGTTACAGAAACGAGGCTATGAAAATCGACATATTGAAACAGAATAAAATAAAGTAGATTGACCTATTACATTATAATGAAGATAAAGAAAACACTGAAAGAATCCCCTTGGTACTGACATTTTCCAGAGCGCTCCCGAATGTAGGACAAATAGTATGAAAACACCTACCTGAATTACACACCTCAGATAGAATGAAGGAAATATTCCCGAATCCACCAATTGCAGCATTTAGAAGAGATAATAACCTACAAGACATTCTCGTTCATAAGAAACACAATACACTATTTTTTCAACAGCCGAATTCCTGTGCTCCTTGCAGATCCAAAAAGTGTGCGATTTGTCCGTACGTTATTGAAGCAGACACATTCATTGGTGTGAACGGGGCCTCGTATAAGGTTCGAAATCAGATCACGTGCAAATCTACGAATGTTGTCTATGCAGTTTATTGTAAGCGTTGCGAACGTTATATTTATGTTGGAGAAACAGGGGATACGTTGTACCAAAGACACCTTCTTAATTTATCCAGAATACGAACCAAATACAACGATCCGTTAGCGGCGCATTTTTACACGAACGACCACACAGTAAATGATTTTTCAATAATGGGGCTGGAAAAGCTATACGGGAATGACCAATACAGAAAAACAATAGAAAATTTGTGGAAAAATAAATTACGAACCTATAGACCGTATGGAGTAAATACCAAAGAATAACGCGGCAGACGGCAAACAACGCCACTGCGGGCGTCGTTCATTGACGTTACGTCACTTCCATTGTTTTGTTTGATATATTTGTATGTAGAATAAATGCTGCTGAAGAAGGCCGCAAGGCCGAAAGCTACGGCAAATTTAAATTAGCGTTTTTGCTTATATATATATATATATATATATATATATATATATATATATATATATATATATATATATATAATATATATATATATATATATATATATATATATATATATATAGGTAGAGAAATAAGGATTGTTCAGTATTTTTTAAAGTTACATGATGAAAAAAACAATAATTGTATTTTATCACATAAACCGCGGCGCAGGAGTGTAATAAAGCCATTTAATAAAAACGATATTACACTAGTGTAATAACACTTTGACGTGACGTCATTTGCGCTATATAGAAACATAGCGTTAAAGCGCGCTAATGTTAGCGTTTCACTATGGGCGCGTCATTAAAAAAACTCATTTTAACAGTTTACTGTTCTTATTTTATATATGTGATAAATAGAATATCACATTCGTGTAGATTCAATACTAAATTTATTAAACTCGTTGAATAAAACAATATTATGCTCGCCAGAGGCTCGCATAATATGATTTTATTCAACTCGTTTAATAAATTTAGTATTAAACTACACTCATTCAATATCCTCTATTTATCAAGTACCATAAGTAAATTAAGACAGGACGCTGAAGATAATAATGTTGTCAATTGGGCTTCAAAAGTAAGAGATTTATTACAAAATGCTGGTTTTAATGATGTTTGGTTGTTTCCTTCTTCAGTAGATATAAATAAGTTTACAGTAATTTTTCGTACACGACTTCAGGATATATATATGTAAATAACTGGAGACAGGATATCTCATCCAGATCTTCACTTTTATTATTCAAAGAAATAAAACCTATTTTTGAAATATCAGAATATTTAACAAAGATAAAATGTCCAATTTCAAGATATACTCTTGCTAAATTACGTTTGTCGTCTCATCAACTTTTTATTGAAACTGGAAGACAAAGAAATATTGATAGAAATGATAGGAAATGCCAACTATGCCAATGTAATGATATTGAAGATGAATTTCATTTTGTATTAATTTGCTCAGCTTATACAACATTAAGGAAACAATGCATTCCTAGATATTATTATACACGCCCAAGTATGTTAAAATTTACTGAATTGTTACAGTGTACAAATGCAAACATTTTAAATAAATTAGCCAATTATTGTAAAAAAGCATTTGAAGTTCGAAGGAATTCATTAAATCATTAAAAAAAGACATAATAAATGACTCATCACTAGAATGTACTCAAACATATATTTAAAGAAAAAAAATGAATTAGAAATTAAATACAGCAATATTATATGTTATTTTGGTTTTGGAGTGATATATGTGGATATATTAATTACCTGTTAAGATTTTATATCACCCGAGCCGTTAGGCGAGGGTGATATTTTATCTTGGCAGGTAATATATCCACATATATCACTCTAAAACCAAAATAATAATTTTATTACCCTTCCCCTGCCGAGTTTAGACGATTTTTTAAAAAATCATTGCTGTTTCAAATGAAACGTCGAAATAAGATTCCCTTTAGAGTACCCCTTCGTCACAACGTGACGTCACATAAATACATGACGTGTTTTTCCCGTACCTAATAAATGTAAACAAGAGAAAAGGAGTAGTCTATTAAACGCACTTTTTTGTAATTAATATCAAGCTTTCACAAGGTCATATTTGTTTTCGATACTGATGGTAATATGTATCATTACTCTACTTTTGTAAATATTTATCATTTGACAGTTAAAAAGTGCTTTTAAATCGGAATTTACACCGCGTAAAATCGAACCGTACGCGCATCACCTCAGCGCATGTTGTTTACAACGTTGGGTACCCAACGGGGAAATTTAGTGTGTATATTACCCGTCTGGCTCGGTTATATCAATTTCTTTCGGGTGATCAATATCCAATCAAAAAGGCGGAAAAAATCTGGAAGGGTAATAAAATTTATATATATGCATTAATTGTATATAATAATCTATTAATATGTTATATAAAATGTCACATTACTTCATGTATGTAAATAAATGTATGTATGTATGTATGTAACGATGAACTGTAAATGTTCAAGTTAGACAAATAAATTTTCTGTTCTGTTCTGTTATGTTCTGTTATATATATATATTTGGGCAACAAAGTATCCTATTAAAAACGGTGGATTTTTACAGAAAGTTCATAAACTATCGACTATTTTACTTGTAAATTTATCATATCTAATTAACTAAGGGAAACATAAAATCAAACTTAGTCAAATCTTGAAAAATCTTTTGTTTTACTGGTACTAGAACCAAATTTAAATTCGGTGTAAGGCCCTAATAAAGGCCGAGGAATTGTGACTGATTTTATAGAAGATAAACGCCCAATAACTTTTGTTGATATTCTCATTTTTAGCTCGATTTTTTTCCGACCTTTTTGACCTTTAATTTACCTTGACCGTCAAGGTAAAATTAATGAAATTCTTTTGTTTTCCTGTAACTGGCTATATAACGTATTGTTATTTTTTAAAGGATTAGCTTGATATTTAGACGCAATATATTTTAGGTCAGGATCTTCATGTATATCAAACTTAAACTGACCTTGACTCATGTATGGCCCTAACATTTAAGGTCAAATTATTGAATTTCCACTGATAATTGCGGTAATTGGCTGTAACTTGGTAATTAATCATTGGATTATCTTCATACTTGGAGAAAACAACCTTTTGGGCAAGATCTCTAAAAGGTTGAACTAACCTTGAGCTTTAAATGACCTCTTGACCGTCAAGGTCAAATTATTGAATGTTGGGTAAGTTGCCATAATGTTATTACATTGTATTTATATACGAATTGGATTCATACGTGGACAAAACAACACAATGCTAATTAAGTAACATAATGATGTTATAACTTATAAGCAAAATATTTGACACAAAATACAAAAGTTTGTGCGTAAGTTGTACAAGCTACGTCATAAAGTACGTCGGCAATATTAGACCTATATTTCATAATTATATTTTCCCTCAATGAAGAGGTGGATATACAAATATATAAATATGAAATTGACAAAACAGAAATAAGAAAATATGAACACGTAGTCAAATATAACTGTAAACTTTATAAGTATGTTAACAATTTACAGAAAATAATCAACAATCCAGATATCAATATTTCTTAAAACGTACTCATTTAAAAAGTAAATAAATTAATAAAATTTTAAAAAATGATTGAATGTATCACAATGGCAGCTCTATATTTTCCATCTTAAAGAATTTGTCAGAATTCTGGTAAATGTTCTTAGGAGTACAGATAATAATTATAAGTCTTGCTCTTGATATTAATATTCGTCCAAAAGTATAACGAATAAACGTTAACAAAATACCTCAACTGGAAATTCATTTTCTGTTTTAGTTTCTTATAGTAGCAAATAATTAATCCTTAGTAAATTAATTTTTGATTCTAATTTTGTACATAATTTTCCTATAGTTGAATGTTTAAATGTTTTGATATCAGAATTTATTTTGCCGAAAACGTTATAAAGACTCGGGATATAAGATCAGTAATATTGTTGATTACCATTGCAGATATCATTCTCTTTCGGATAAGAAAAGTGCTGACATTTTGTTAAAGTTTTTTGTTTCTCAAACTGACATCTATGTAAATGTTATTTGCAACTGTCGGCTATGTATAGCACATGTATATAAAGATATGCTCGGTAGTTTTAACATTTAAAATTCGCAAATAACAGACATGACACAGTTTAAATAGCTTTTTGTCTGTTTTTTTTAACCCTGCTAGATATTTTTATCACAAATAAATAAACAAATAGTGTTGAAATATACATTGTCAACGAAAACAAAGTAGCATATACATACTTACTGGTTATATACGCGATAAGGATTAATGTTTGACCTTAACTATTAAGAAAAGTCCATATTTAACACAGAACGTTAGTCTTAGTTTATGATTAGTGTATAAGTTTATAGGAAGGATATTTCCTGCATCAAAGGTGAGTTTATGACATTATTTTATACGAGATATGTTGATCACTCTTAATAAAATTCATTGTGCGTTATCTTTGATGAACCTTCTTAGTAGAGAATATTCTGTAATTTTTTTAAACGTACATGTTCTGTTGCATGCATGTTTGACTATTAATTGCATTTAGTAATTATAAAATGTCGCAAATATATCAATACCGGAGAAAAATTACAGAAACAAATACGATTTGAGTAAAAATAATTATCATCTATAGCTAGGCGACCTTGGTAGAATTCGGGTTTGGTCATGGTGACCTCTACGCTGTTTGTCTTTAGACTGGTTGACCACACTTCAAACGACGTAATTTTTTGTCTGAACTGGTTTCGTTACAGTTAACTGTCATTAAGTCAATTTTCTGGAGACAATTAAGCTATCAAATCAGGATCTAGACAATTCATGATTCAAAGAAAAGTAATGACAACATTTTATATTTGGAGATAACAACTTTCGATGAGATTATCTTATTGTGACTAATCTGATATGATTAAAATGATAAGTATTGCGTTATAATAAAAAAAAACCCAACATAATCACTACCTCGTCATAGTTAAAAACAACTTCTCCCTTTAATAATAATGATACATATTTAATAATTAATGGTTAACTAAAATCTATGTAATGCTATAATTCTGATGATTATGCTATGTTCTAACCGCCGATCAGATCAACTCGATCGTCCCGATCACATTAATTCCCCGATGAAGCCCGACCAAGCTGGATTAAATGCACATTCACGACTCCTACACGACCTCAAGTCGACCCTACACGATGTTTTACGACTTCTTCTCGACGACAACCCGACCAACATCCCGACTTCTTCTCGATCACCCAGACCTATACGCGAGTCATACACGATCTCAACTAGACTAACTGGACCTCTGCTCGATCGTTGCCAGATTTCCACCCGACCAGATCGTAATGATCGTAATCGAGTCGTGAATAGTCGTGTATCGAATTGTTTAGAATAAAAATCTTCAAACATTCCTGGTTCAAATCAGTCAATAATGGAGATTGAGCAGTTGTTGTCCAGATGGTTAGATCTTCAGAGGGTCAGGGCTATGACTGTAATAGAGTTGAAAACCGAAGAAGCAGCATATGTTGCCTTTTTGCCCTTTCTAGGTATTTTTGTTGTCAGAATTTGGAAGTTGCTCTATCTTCAAATCTGTAACAGCTAATGAGACACCAACAATAAGTTTACATCTATATATTATTTAGGTCATGTGAACTCGCGTATGGTCGAATAACTATCGGGAAGCGATCGTTTGTGGTCGTGTAGCAGTCGGGTAGTAGTCTAGTTATTCTGGACAATAGATCGAACAGAGGTCGAGTTGATCGGGTTGCGATCGGATAATGCTCGAGTAGAAGTCGAGATGATCGTGTACAGATCGGGTAAGAGATGTATACCCGACCAAACTAGATCGTTACACGATTTATTCTCGATCAACTAGATCTTCTACTCGATCACTATACGATCGCTTCTCGACCGCTTATCTACTCGATCGCTACACGATTGTTTTGACATGTCAAATAAATTCGGGTAGGAAGCCCGAGCCATGCTGACCAAGGTAGACCGCTCCGACCACCCCCGATCACGCATGCAGACCGAGCTAGACCGGTACCCGATCGCTTGATCGTGCTTGATCGAGTTGATCTGATCGGCGGTGAGAACACAGCATCCGGGCCGATGACATATATATGTTTCGCCAGCTACATTGCATACATATATACATGATACTGTAGATAATGGCGTGATATGACAAATAAGTAAATACATGAATCTTGGGAAGTTTGGACATCTGCGGCGACTTAAAAAGAATTTATAACGTACATGTATAATTAGAAACTGTTTGTTTCAGCGACGTGTATGAAGATAAACAGTTGTCTTACACATGCGCGTTAATTCAGTTAACTTTGTGAATGTACTTTTGTCTTATTAAACATGTTATTGTGTAAACGTGATCTTGTAGCTCTGCAACCGGAAACACATCTTCTTTAACTCTATTTTCTGTATTCGAGTTTTATATTTCAGTTGTACATGTATTTACATTTGTCTTGTCTCAGGCTATAAGTGTGCAAACCTGCTTATGTATTATATTCGATGGAAGATGCGAACATGTTGTTTTTAGGTCTATACAGTTGAGTTCACACTAAAGGTTACACAAAGTGCACTAGGAGTGCACTAGATGTGCACTTCAAAGTGCACTAGCAGTGCACTACTAGTGCACTTCATAAGTGCACTTTGTAGTGCACCAGACCTTTTATATGTATTAAGCAGTTACCTTTTATATCAATGAATAGCAATTTGACTTTTATAAATATAGATATCTGTATAATAGTTTTTCATAATAAATTTGAAGTTGTTTTAATTTTTGGATTTTGTAAAATATATATGGCGTAGAATATTAGAACAATAATTTTTCAAAGTCATTAATTTTACTGATTTTGTACTTTAAAACTTATATAAATAATTATAACTTTAATGTTGATAAGTGCATAAATAAACAAAATTAATTGATATTTAATATGATTTTATTTTATTATAATCTGGTAATGAAATATGAAATATTGAAATGCTAATTAAACAAAATTCAGTCTTTTTTTTGAAGGGGGGGGGTGAGGGGGGGGGGGGCAAATTATACCAATTAGTTATATTTGATCTTAACTTATGGTTGTTTTAGTTAAAGGTAATTATTTTAAGCATTAATAGCCTATAATACATTAAAGAATTAATATGTTTATAATTGGCCTTAATTTTGTCAATTTTATCTCTCTAACCTTCTCAAACTGAGATTTACCTAAGATTAATATAAATGATATATATTATTCTATATATAATGGTGGTATATATGAAATGTGGATTAAGTATTGATATGTGTGGATTAAGTAATGATATGTACCTGTGGTACACTAGTATACTTTAACTGAAATGGATATTAACAAAAAGATTAGAAAATCTTTCAATTCCATTTTTATTTGTTTGGGTCGTCAGACCAAACAAATAATGGTAGCGAAATTTCAGAGTCTAATGCTGTTAATTGCAAATGCCGAAAGTAGTCCACTTTTTTGAAGCGGTTACTTCCCTTTATAATGTACACTAACTCCGAAAAATTCAGGGGAGATCACTGCGTAAAGATGGTCAAAGACAGGCACATTAATTTTCAAGCAAAATAATTCCCGAATGGTCGAAGATTTCTAATATTGTTTTATTGTATTTTCTGATCAAAAATAAGTAAAGACAAAGCGGACATTCAATCTCTGACAAAGAAGTTTACGACGAACCTAACAACAAGTAGTTCTCAAAACAGCTTAAAACTAGCGATTTAAAAGAAAGAAATATTTTTATTTTGTTACAAGTATCCAACAAATTCCAACGCATTCAAAGTTTAAAAATAGCGTTGGCTTATAGAATTGTCAATAAATGCACAATCACAAATTACGCGGATGAATATGATTTTATCAATGAAAATACTATTTTTAGCGATGTCGATTACCGAATACTACACCAGGGTCTTTCTATTTGAGACCGAGTAGTGGAATATATAGATTCTACATGTCGGACTGTTTGGGCGAGAAGATTTTCGCTAAATTAACTACTTCAATTTTAAACAACAGGTTTATCCTGAACAAAATACCTCGAAATTAATAAGGATTACAAACCCGAAATGCAATGGAAGTTCAAAATTTAGAATGACTTGATGTTATTCAATTGTTGTTTGTATAACTTCTCCGTGGTGCAGTGGTAACGCGCTCGCTTAGTGAGTGGGAGGTCTGGAGTTCAGATCCCAGTCGAGGAAACTTTTTTTTAATTCTTTTTTAAGTGTCTTTGTTAAGGAAGTAGCCATGCATTATGCAAGGATAAAGTGTAGCTGTCGTAAAAAATGAACATAAATGATATTTTGATGCAACTCTAGTTATGCAGAATTCCGTATGTATCAAACTCTGGTGCCTTGCAAAATGAATTATAATACATAAAAATAAACTTATACAGGAAAATACAAAAACATATATACAGTACGATTAAGATTGCAAATATCAGAAAATACCACAGAACTTGCAGCCCTTTGATTCTTTATGAATATACATGCTTACAGTAAGCTCCAGAATTATTTAAATCTGTGTTAAACAACAGTTAAAGTCGTTACAAGCCCTAATTTAGAATAATATGGTTTTCTTCAGGCCGTTCACATATAAATTCACCGTGGCTGAAGGGATTTCGGGCTCGCTTAGGAAGCGAGAGGTCTGGAGTTCAAATACCAGTAAAGGCAACTCATTTTTTTTTCAAATTGTTTAAGTCAAATAAACATTGGATTGAATATCAGTGTTGCAATTAGTCTTATAGCCAATTTACTACAATTAAAACGCTGGAAAGCATTGGTGGAACTATACATATAATCTCACAACCTGTACCTTTCTTTCATTTTGAGACCCAAACAAATTCAGCGCCTTCTGTGCTTTGATTTGAGACGACACCAATCTTTTTTTTTCTTTTATTTTCATGCATTGTAACATAATTATGCAATATGATTATTTTTATTATGAGTTTATTATAAAATGCAAAAATATCTCAGTTTTCTTCTTTATTTTTGGCGTCCGCGCCGAAGCGCGGCGCCTCTTATGGAATGAAATCAGATTTTGTGAAAGGGCGACAGCAACTTCTCGAGCCTTTTAGTCGGACATAATAAAAGCCGATTATTCCGATCAGTATGAGGGTGCTTGATTATTAATTAAAAATGAAATGTCGCGATATATACAATGAATAGCGAACTGGAGAATTTCGCAATGCAAACATTTTCAAATGAAATAACCTTTTCCGTCAATAAATCGCGCTCTTCGGGGTATTTTTATTTATCATTTTGTAGTACACAGTGGGTTATTATGGTACATGTATCCGAAAGCTGAATAGAATGATGAGTTGATGACCTAAATATTCCGAAAATCTATTTATAGAGGGATGTACTCCTATCGGTA